CTTGATAAAGCCTTTTCTATAATTTCACACCATAAAGTAAGTAATAAATGCCTGAGTGATTCATGCCGATATCGTATCGGGTCAATATTGGCACCGGTTAATACACAAAGCAGCAATATCGGTATAATATCAGAAATGAAGAAGTTGTATCAGGACACCCCTTTCTTAGTCAGCCATGAGTCATTTCATTATTGTGATTTCAATTGTGCCCAATACTTAAAAAAAAAACACTTTCTTTAGTTTTAATCAGTACCAAGGGCCCCCAGCCTTTACAATCCACAGACATGTTTTGCTCTCACTCATGCTAAAACCTATTTGGCAGAGCCACAACAACAACGTACCCCTTACAATAAAGACAATTTTTTTTGCACGTTAAAAAAGCCTACTAAAGACAACAGAGAGACATATACAGTATCTTTTTAAATAGTAGGGTTCACATTTATGGGAAATTAAGAAAAAACAGCTGGTAGATTCCTTGCAGCTTAAGATTAATCATTAAGAGATCTAAGCAGACATTGCATGAAAACATAAATAACAGCTAACACCAACTGATTAAATACTGACATAAAAAAAACTGCAGTTCTTCATCCTTTTTTGGCCGTTAATACGAGTTTCAGCACAGAACCTCACCTCTGCTCTATTCAGTCTCACACCCAAATCTGCTTACTTTAAGTTCTTCAAATTGAAACTGCTCCCCTGTTCCACATCTGTCCCTGTACATGATCCTGTCCCTGATTTTCCCCGTGTAATAAATACACGGATGAGCTGTGAAACCCTACACAGCAGACAACCTCCTCTGCCCTTCCCGATCCTGTCCTCCTGACTTTCTGATAAAGCAGAAGTTCATGGAGTTTGAGTAAAACATGAAAACCGATAAAAGTGGAATGACAAACCGGAGGAAAAATAATCTAAACAGATCAAAAAAACCTTTCCAGAAGACATGCATGTGGAGGTGTTCCTGTGAAATGATTAGTATTGGAAAGTTCAAGTGAATGGCATAAGGAGTATCATGTTGCAGTCAGGTGGGTGACAGACACTGTCCTCTGCAGCAGCAGCAGCAGAAGGAGGAGGGCAGTGTTCCTGTAAAACCACTGCATTTGTTTACTTGCATTAATACATCATAAAGCAAACTAAAAAGTTTCCAAACAAAATGCTATCATTATTGTTTTATCCAAACACAAAAAGGGAAGAAAACTGCAGTTTATATTGCAATGTCTTTACTTTCTTTCTGTCATTTCATCCTCAAGTGCAAACTCAAATAATCTATCAGATGTTTGTTCCTTTTTTTTTTTTTTTTTGTTAAATTTCAGCTGTGTTTACCTGTTCTCTCCTTTTGCATTAGAGGGTGGAGGGTGCAGGATTGTTTGGTTGTCCTCCATGTCCACCACACATTTTGTATTCAGCTCAATCTCTGCATGAAGACAGGAGTTTTTTTGGGGTGGAAAAAAGAAGGGAGGATGCGGGGGTGTGGAGGGAAGAGAATCAGAGCTACTTTCGCCTTGTTGAAAGTAAACTGGAGCATGATTTTAGGAAAATGGTGAAGACAGCTCAAGTTTACGAGGAGGGGAGAAATAGAGGGAGGTTTGGGAGCGGAAACCGTCGTTTTCAACACTTACCCCTGCGGTTCATGGGCCGAACTCTCACAGCAACTTTTACCTTTGTATCCGACATTTTTATCACTTTTTGTTGTTGTTTAATTCCAACCCTTTATGTTGTGTCTGTGCGCCGAGATCTAAATGTATAGTTAGTAAATCCCCTGAAAAACGGCCCCGGGTTTTTTTTTTCCTTCGTGCCACGCTTCTGCAAACCCCGATCGTCAAAAAGAAAAGCTCCCAAAATAAGTCCAAATTTTCAGGCAGATAAATCCGGACAGGATCATTTTCTTCTTTTAATTCCGGCAGAGTTCTCTTGTTGTGCGGATCGAGCCCTCTGCTCCGGCCGCAGACAGCATCCCCAACGCCATCTTCCACCGGGAGCGCGACTGCTCTCCTCTGGCAGGGCTGGACGGGCTGTGCCAAAGGAGGGGAAAGGATTTACGCACCACGCAGCTCCTCCACAGGGAGGAGAAAAGGCGAGCAGAGAAACTGAAAACTGCATCATGACCAGTGATTTACGCACAGCAAAGATTGCGCACAACAAAGCACCATGAGGAGTATAATGATGTAAATTGAACTGAATTATAACTGATTTAACCTTAACTGGAGGTTGAGATAGTAAAAAAGCACACCAGAATTGGGTAAATTTCTATGAATAATATTTTACGGAATGACTATTAATATGTTTTAACATTTACATTCTTAATTGTCCTAATTGGATTTTTACACAAAAGAAAAAAGCAAAAACTAAATTAGGAACTATTGGGTTTGGGCTTAAAACTAAATAAATAACTAAATAGTGGCAGGGTTTTGGTGTTCATCAAACAGAAAGGCAGACATTAACATCTACTTTTATTTCCATGTTCAAAATTATGCCCCAAGAATTCACTGCCCATATATGGTAGAGGGGTGTGATTGCACACTATGCAATACAAAGCATCAACTGTATATTTTTGTCTAGATTTGTCCAGACCTCGTGTCTATATACTGTGTCTATATTTTTTTATTTTTGTGCTTTAAAACCCCTTGAAGGTTTGTGAGGAACCAGCGCCCACCACAGACAGATAATAAGATGTTCGTAGAATCAGTTGAAATATGAAAAAAGTTGTTTTTCATCTTTGAAAGTGATTTTTTTTTTAAAGGGAAAGAATGAAGAACCATTTTGCATTTTAAATGAAAATCCAATCTTCTTTTTAATAACTGACTTGTAATAAAAATATCAAATTAACAAAACCTACAGACTGTTCTCAGTGAACACTAATAGGCCAATTGTGCAACCTCCTAAGCTTCAAAGATCTATTATCCTGTTCATGTTTGGATCTTGTCCTGTGCATGTGTGAATCTTTTCCTGTACATGAGTGAATCTTGTCCTGTGCATGAGTGAATCTTGTCCTGTGCATGTGTGGATCTTATCCTGGGCATGTGTGAATGTTGTCCTGTGTGAGTGTGAATCTTGTCCTGTGTGTGTGTGTGTGGCTCTTGTCCTGTGCATGTGTGAATCTTGTCCTGTGTGTGTGTGTGTGTGTGTGTGTGTGTGTGTGTGTGTGTGTGTGTGTGTGTGTGTGTGTGTGTGTGTGTGTGGATCTTATCCTCTGCATGTGTGGATCTTGTCCTGTGCATATCTGGATCTTGTCCTGTGTGTGTGGATCTTATCCTCTGCATGTGTGGATCTTGTCCTGTGCATATCTGGATCTTGTCCTGTGCGTATTTGGATCTTATCCTGGGCATGTGTGGATCTTGTCCTGTGCATGTGTGGATCTTATCCTTTGCGTGTGTGGACCTTGTCCTGTGCACGTGTGGACCTTGTCCTGTGCATGTTTGGATCTTATCCTGTGTATGTGTGGATCACATATGTGAGTTTGTGAATATTGAGACTCTTCTAGCTCCATGCTTATGGACTTGAGATCTATTTTTCTTTTTCTAGTGTTCATGCTTGTATCTTTTTCATCTCAATCATTTTCTGTGTTCCTTTTTACAGTTTAACACTTTTTAGAACAATGTTTAGTCATGTAAAACCACCCTCCGCTCCCTAGTAATCAGACTTGCATGCTCTTTACCCTAGCAAGCACTCCTCCCAGTGTATTCTCCTGTGCCTTCAGTCATTATTAGATCAATAAACGTACTGACATTTTACTTGAGCTGGTTCTGGTTTAACTTCCTGTTAAAACAATGTTTTTTCTCTCCACTGTTGCTTCATGCATGCTCGGAGTAAGGTTTTGCTATGGAGTCATTCACACATTGCAAACAGATGCTCATCCATGAGGAGCGAATCCTTCAAAGTCATGACTAATTGCAATCTGTTGGTTTACCTTAGATAGAAAACTTTTTACTAATCTGACTGCACAATCTCACTGAATCGTCACTGTAAAGTGCCTTGAGATTAAGTGTTGTTAATTAGCACTATATAAATAAACCACATTTAATTCAACTGCAGTGGTAATGGTACATTTCATATAAACAGCATTAACATTTTTACAGCACTAATGCAACTAAAAGTTACAGAATTCATTACCTGCTGCTTGTGCACAGTCTTTAGGATTTAGAACAGCATTAATTTAAGCATCCCAATAAGTAATAATTTCACTTCCTTAAGAGATTACCTGCCAAATCTAAGTTAAAAACACCAACACGCAGTAATAATTTCTTTATTTGCAATTCTGACTGTTTGTGTGTCCGTAATCAGACAGCAGACACACTTAAGGAATTGAATGTCAAACAATATGTGTAGATCTCCCTTAATAATAGATCATATGGATTACTGAGTTGATTGTGACTAAAATTGCCACACTGGTTCAGGTATATGTTGGCCTGTTCAGTTTATTAATCACTAACTTTACAAGACCTGAAGTGTGAAGGAATAATTTAAGGACTTCCTTAAGAAGTCATGTTTGCAGTTTGCCACAATTACCAAGGAGACACAAAAAAGATGAGCAGTAAAACTAATACTTAACATCAAACTATCCCCACAATCATGCTGTGCGATTGTGTTTACTCAGCAGCGCCAGGGTTGCTACTCAGAGATGATGGAAAGATAATGGAGGGAATACTGGAAGGAGAGGTTTTAGAGGCTGAAGAAGACTTGGGACTGGGGCAAAGGTTCACTGTCCAGCAGGTCATCGTACTTAAACAAACAGAAGTGATCCTTAGCTTTTTAAGGTGTGGAGAAAGTTAAGAAACCAACAAATCAAAGCATAGACTATGTACACCACTGTCATTAAACCTCTCTAATAAGAAAGGCTGCCAAAAAACGCTTTATATGTATATTTATATATATATATTTAAAAGCTTAATATTTGAAGACCAATACAGTTTTATATGATGTGTCCACCCAACAAACAGACAAATTTAAAAAAACAAAAACAAAACAGAAAACTACAAATATGATTTTAAAAAACAGTTGATTACTTTTACAGGTAAACGTCAATTTATTCCCCTTTCCCTGCACTGTGATCTCCATAGGTCTCTTATAATTGACATGGGTTCTCAGCCATCAGGCTTACTAGAATAAATCTTCACTGTATGGTCACCACCATCTACAATAACGAGCGAGTTGTTAAGTAACACCAGCCCAGAAGGTTGGATGAGATGGTGCCCCACAAGAGGAGTAATGACCGGACCGTTCTGAAGGTTTCCTAAACTACAAATCAAGCCTTGATCAGAGTCGGACACCACCACGTCTCCATCGCTGCTGAAAGCCACATCAGATATGTTCAACCGGATGGAAGACTGCAGGGTCAGGCTGAAGCTGTCCATCTGGTAAAGAAGATTGAAGTCCTTCGTAAACACTTTTAACTTTTTGTGGCCATGCTTTCCTCTTGGATGCTCCATCACAGCCGTGTTTCCGGTTTTTGGACAGTGAGCCAAAGCTTTGGGACACTGAAGGTTAGTTATAACACTTTGATTCTCCAGGATAACACCATGACTGAAGTCCACATTTATTCTGAACAGGGTCCCAGCCTGCAAGTCTGACACCAAGATACGTCCACAGCTGTCCATGTCCACACCCCAAGGAAGCTGGAAGCAATCTTTGACCGTCAAAACGTGTATCCCCCTTGAAGCGAAAACCTTCACAGCTTTACCCCCTGCATCCGTCACTATGACATAACCAGCTGGACTCACTGCCACATCCACTGGGTAACAGATGTCTCCATTGCCTGCTCCTCTTTCTCCAAAGCTGTGCAGCTTCATCCCTTGTTGGTTGAACACAACCACTCTCTTCTCTCCATCATGCACCACAACTACTTCCCCCATAGATCCAAGAATGGCTAATCCAGTTGGATTGATGAGAGTCCCCCAGCCACCAAATGTGGAGCGAAGATGCAGAGCAGCTTCTGAGATAAAACCCCCTGTAGCCCTGCTGTGGGGAGCAAAGGAGGAGGAACTGTGGGACAAAAGGAGCTCCTGCAGGTCACTGAGAACCTGGCAATGGGATATACTGTCAACACTGCACAGCTGTCGACAGAACGGGCACTCCAGCTTCCTCAGGAGAGGGTGGGACAAACTGGTGATGCATTCCAGACAAAGTACATGACCACAGGAAAGGTTCTGCGGTCTGCGCTCCCTCTGCTGCAAGTTAAACGTCTCAAAGCAGACTTTACACTCCAGTAAGCTGGTCTTGATCTCTTTCAGGGTGTCCTCGGGACTCGGGCAGCCACGAAGACTCTGGTCCATATTGTGTGAAATAAAATGATGTCCTGGCAGTCTGTGCTGAGGTAGTTTAACTAACTGCTGCAGGCTGATTGAGCTAACACCATGGAGAAGGACGAGGACAACCAAATAAACTGGAGAAGCTCTGTGTTTATATGTCCTTTGGCTTGGAGGCCTTAGTCACCACGTGATGGTTTTTTCTAATCTGACTGAGGCTCTCTGCTGCCCTCTTTTGGATGTATTCTCAAACATATCAGAAGAGAGCTTGTAAAATAAACGTGCTTTGTTTAAAGCTGCAGTCTGTAACATTGAGGAGAGAGCAGACTTCGACTGAAAATTTGAAGAAAAACAGGTTTCACGCCACTCCCCCACCCTCTCTGCTTCACTCATGCCCCACCTCCAAGCTCCACCCCTCTCACAGCATCTGCGTGGCTACCGCATGCGACCAGAAGGGGGGGGGGGGGGGGGGGGGGGGGGGGGGGGGTGCGGGATTCAGCGTGTGTGAGCTGTGATTGACACTCCATCAGACGCTCCTCTGGCTGTGATTGGTTGTTTTGACTCGTCCCGAATTATTCTTTCCAGATTGAAATACAGGCAGTAGGCGGGACCAATTGAAGCAGTTTTTTTCACAGGTTACATATCACATGTACTGCTGTCTGGGCATAGGGACAGTTTTAGCCAATATGACAAAAAAGTGATTTTTAGAAACTTACAGACTTCAGCTTTAAAACATAATGATCTCCAAAATAATTGTAAAGGTAAAAGTCTATGAAAGCATTCCAGCTCTTAAGCTGAACTCTCTAAATGTTTGGATGTTATTAACATTGGTAATTGAAAAAGTAGAAAATCTTTCACATTTTACTCAGAAACTATTTTTGTTGGGTTTTTATGAAGTAGAGCAACACAAAGCAGTCCCTAAAGATGAAACAAAATCATAAATGTTTAAAAAAAAAGGAAAAAAACAAGAGTGATTTTTTTGTATTAAGTCTCTTTTGCTCTTAATATCTTTAAATGAAATCCAGTGAATTCAATCCTTTTGTTTTTTTTTTGGAAATCATCTAAATAATAAAAAGTTGTCTTTTTTCTAATTTAATGTTATTATTAATATACATTTCGTCAATGCATCAGGAGTCCAGTCAGATGAGACAAAAATAGATCCGTTGGAGAAAATATTGCAACACATGATCATGACTGAAGCATAGTGGTGGTAGCATGAAGCTGTGGGAATGCTTTTAATCAGGAATGGAGGAGGTGCTTTGAGCAGACAGAATGGAGGGAGCTGAATACAGGCCTGTAGTGAGAGTTAATCTGTTAAAGGCCTCAGACTTGGGAGGGGGGGTGGAGGTTTTTGTTCTACCTCAATTTGACATGCATGCAAAAGTGAAGGAAAAGGTGCAACTTGTAAGGCTGATTTTGTGGCTCAGAAATAGATTGAAGCAGTAGTATTATCTGGTTTGTTAAGAAAAAACATTTATAAAATGGGATCATTTAAATACAAGTGCCTGAATTTTTTTGCACCATTTGTTTTAGAGAAAAACTGAATGCAAGAGATTTTTTGCGACTCACAAAGCAGTTTATTTAGCTGTATTCTAGAAATTTAAGGCTTGTAATCTTTTTCGTGATGTTAAAAGATAGGAAAAAAAAACTTAAATTACTAATTAAATGCACAAATACTTTTGCAACAGCAGTTTTGAATAAATTGGAGCCAAACTGAGAATGTAAGAGGTTTTTGATTTGTGACTCACAGAACAGAGTTTGTGTACTTTTACTCAACAAATTGAAGATGTGTAAATTTTCTTTTGTAACTGTAAATTACAATAAAAATCTATAATTACAAAAGGTCCATTTTATTTTCTCTACAACTTCAAATTCGGTCACAATGCATTAGAGGAAATGCAAATCTTTATGATTCAAAATGACTTTCATAGTGGAGTCACTTTCCAGCAATGACAACCCTGAGCCTAAACAGATACAACAGAATAGCTTAGAACAGGACCAAAAATAGGGACCAAAATTACTGAAAATATGTGTGAAAATGCAATTTAGCAAAACCTGTAGTGACAGATCCTAAACAACATGAAGGTGGAATTATAGAAAGGTGCCTTCTTTTAAAAAAAACGTCTCAGGGAAGATGCATACCATACGTTTACTTTATTCACGCCTTTGTTTTCAGTTATCTAAAATAAATATGTTTTTCAAATTTTTAAATGTGGTTCCTACTGTAAATTTGAAAGTCAATGCATAGGAAAAATATCCCAAGGCGCTGTAAGTGCTGGTATGGGTCTACATTTGGAAGCTATTTCTGTATGACTTTCATGATGTGCAGCCTGAGTGAAATCTGACCCCAGAGGTGCAGTGCTGAAGTCAGCCACTCAGGGAGAAACTGAAATCCTTCAGAACTGGAACAAGATTTTTCAAGAGCCACTAAGGTTACCATCATAGAAACATGTAAAATCTCTAACACACTCCTAATACTAAAATCTAAGGATTAGAGTTGTTCAAGAGAATACTCAGATTCCAGAGGAAATGTAAAACATTTTAATATGTTGGCTTTTTCTCACAGTGAAACAAACAGCACAGGTCATCTTGAACAGTATTGTTTTTGGCTGAATGAAATGTAAATCCAGAGACATTGTACCTTTTACAAAGCCTAATGTTGCCTGGGAGACCGCTTCATCAGGCCAGCATTTGGATTGTCGAGGATACGAGAAATATGTCAGCGCTGAGATGATACTAAACAAAAATGAATAAAAATCTCCAACGAAGCACACCAGGTGACAGTATTCAACAGGAGAGAGCATGGATTTAGTTTTTAATACAGACTGAGAAGCGTAAGAAATCAGAAATAATTCCATGCAAACAGGCACAAGGCATGAATCAAAATCTACAATGACAATAAAAAGACAATACTTGTGTTCAGGGTTTAGATCACATAGACAGTCTTTCCCACAGTTGTAACATTTTCCCATTAAAACACTTGATGTGACAGTCATGCATAAGAAATCAAAGGAACAAAAAGGTCAACAGTAAAAGAAAACCACCTGCACACCGACATGCAAGTCTGAGTAATTGCCCTCCTTTATCGGTCCATTAAAACGTAGAAAAATTAAAAGTAATATAGCAGCCACAGGCGGAAAGGGGAAGTAAAGTCACTCTGGATCACAACAGTTCATATAATACTTGAACATAACCAAATGTACAGTATTCTCAAGGAAAAAAGCTCCTGCAAAGTGCTTCAACTGTGTGCTTCATTACAAATTCAACAAACCTCGGTTGAACAAGCTAACAAGCTAAAGCTGTCTGGCATTGAAATTCTGCCCACATTCAAGTTTCTTAAAAAAAAAAAAACTGAACAAAACGCATATTTTCTGTAAAAAGATCATCACAGAAGGATGCATGTATAAAAATAAGGACCTAAAAACATACAGGCTCAAAATAAAGTGATCATACCTTTAAAATGGCATTTTAACATTGAAATGTTTAGAACCAACTAACTGGCATTCAGTCAAAAACACATCAGCCTTCAGTGATATTGTGGCAGAGGATACAGGTCATTTAAAAGCTACAATGAGCATGCAGTCACAGCTATAGTATTTTTTTTTAAGTCTTTCATACACCCACGAACTCTCACTCTCATTCACACACAAAAACTGGGATTAGTGGTTTAGGAGCTTTTTCAGCACATACTGCAGCGTGCATCTCTGTAGTCTGAGCTGCTACGCTTTCTTTATAATTATATAAATCTGTTTATATGCTCTTCTTCTTCTGCTGTCTGCACTCTCAAGAAAGTGACGGCGGTGGTGGGGTGGTTGGGATATCGTGTTACACCACGAAGCATTTCATCTTTACCTTCTGGTCACACTTGGCTTTGCAGATTGACTTCTGATGTCTATGCTTCTTACTGCCCGTCGACGCCATTTAAGGGTTTGTTTTTCCCTCTTCGTCGGAGCGTAGGGCTCTCGCCGTTTGCATCCGTGTCATCTGAAATATTAAGGAATTTGGACCAAAACATAATATTTTATTATTATTAATATAAAGTGGGTCTTATTATCTATATATTATCTTTTATAGGGTTTAAAAAGTCATCCCCAACTAGCTTTTGACTTTCAAGGTATAGGACAACTCCCCTGTTGCTTTGGCACCTGGAGTAAAGCAGATCAACACTTAAAAAAAAAAAGAAATCCCACAGTTATATCAAATACAAGCTGGAGTATTCCAACACAGTGGCTTTTAATGTGGGGAGACAGGGAGAAGGCCTCAGAATATAATTATATCTTAAAATATAAATTGTAATAATATATCACATCGACAAACCCTTGGGGTTTAAACCTGAGCTTTGAGGCTCTTTCTGCGTTTAATGAATAAAAATAAATAAATTGTTTGTGATTACACCCAGACCCAATTCAGCCAGAATTTTTATTTTTCTAGAGTCCCAAAAAAGTACAGAAAATTACCCTTTTCTAATATTCCAATCAGCAAATTATAATGTATTTCAAAAGTAAAGGTATGGTTTAACCAATAAAAGATGTGAGTTCAATAAGAATAATGCAAAAAAAAAAAAAAAAAAAATGCTTTAATTTATTTAGTATTTTTGTCCATTAGAAAATGGAACAAAAGTGGAAAAATTTCTATAAAATAAATGTTTTTTCCCCCATATTCAATTATTTCTTTCCCATATTTATTTAGACCTGGACATTGAGATGAGCAGGATAAGGTTAAACAACTGCTAGGGAACTCTAGATAAAACACTTGCCCAGACACTAGAGGTCAGTGCTTTGCAAAAAATCAGATGTGGTTAGACTCTGTACCTTTAAATTCCCCTGGCATGTGGTCAGGAGACTCTGTGTAATTACTATCCTCACACTCTGAGAGGCTCTGAGGGGAGAGCAGAGCAGAGACACATGACACACACATTCCTATGACAGAGCAAACATTATATGTAGCAGCCTGTAGCTGACCCTGTTCCATAAACAATAAGATAAACAATATATTTTTTAAGGGCAAATGTGATATTTTAAAAGGTAGCATCTAAAAAACCCTCTTACATAAAATACATTTAGTTTAAAAGACTTACTTCTCTAAAATTACAACCATATGTGGACGATGGTTCAGCAGAGCACTACAGCTTTATATTGACACCAGAAAAAGATACTGTGTAGAAATTATGACATTTGTATGTCTTAGAAAAGAAGTTAAC